CCATCACCTGTGCTGCGGTGGTCTTGTCACTGTTGACTCTGGATTTGCCGGCATAGGCGGCTACGTCTACGATTCACTAGCACTCTTGACTGGTGGTGTCAGTGGAGCAACTACATTGTACATTCGTCGAATACTTGATCGTCGGAAGCTGCCAGTTTTGTCGTATGCGTCTCACCAGACCTTCAACTAGGTTATGCTCTTATCGCTCTGGTCAACTTCACCATCTCTATGTGTGGTCCAGTCCACCTTGTGTTGCGAGGGGGCTCATCACACTGTTGATCTGGATGCAGGCAGGCTGCTGACTGTATGCATTTCACTAGCACTCTCTGACTGTATCTCGTCTCCAGACCTCCTTCACCATATCTCTTATATCGTCTGGTCACTCTTCAACCACCATACTCTAGGTAGTGGTCCAGTCCACAGTCCACCTGGTAGTTGTCAAGGGGTCTCATCACTGTGATCTGGATGCAGGCATAGGCTGCTGACTGTATGATGTCACTAGCACTCTGACTGTATCGCGTCTCCAGACCTTCACCACCATATATCTTATCTCTGGTCACTCTCAGTCAACACACACTCATCATCTAGTGTGGTCCAGTCCACCTGGTGTTGCAGGGGTCTCATCACTGTTGACATCTGGATGCGTCCAGGCGTAGCGCTGCTGACTGATCATCTTTCACTAGCACGCTTGACTGGTGGTGCTCAGATGAGCACTACCAACATGTACATTCCCGTAGAATACGTGCCCATCAGAAGCTGCTGTTATTTTTGTCACAGTTTCTCCATTTGAATCAACGATCACTTCAACTATAGATACCAGTACCAGCAGCAACAGAAAGGTGGAGAGGATGTGCTGTCCTTTGCGGATATATGTTGGATTGGCCTAACTCTATGGCATCTCTCTGATCATTGTTTCTGGCTCAGACTGAATTAGGTTGCTTAACATCTTCCCGTTCAAGCTATTGTGGTGTTTGTTTTTGATTCTTGAACGACATTTAATGATGAAAATCACCAGTATTGAGACTAGAAACATAATCAACAGAGCAAATGTAGAAATCGCAATAACTACTGCGAGTGTTGTACCTTCAGTATTTTCATTTGGTGTGATTACAATATACGATGTTGAACTCACTGTAGGAAAAGAAATCTAGATCCCGTCATATCTCCCCGTATGTGGAGTCTGCATAAGATTTATTTGGCCTCGATATTGGTATTGTTAGCCAGTATCGTTATCTGTCATTGTTGGTGACTGTGTGATTATCTCAGTACCGTGAGTAAGTGCAGTGGTAGGAGAGGGGGAACTGGAAATTGGCATGGTTATTTCAGTGGAGACAGCACTTCCACTAGCAGAAATTCTCTCAATGACAGTGGATGAAGTGTGTATAGAAGTTAGTACAGTTAAAACCTCCGAAGAAGCTGAGAGGATGAAACATAATACACTGCACTACTTGTAATATACCTATTTCTCTTCTTTAAATCACTTACTGTTGGTAGGAAGATGGTTGGGAGGAGGGGTTGTGGCTTCTTCATAAGGAGCAGATGTAGTGGTAGCATTAAGTGAAGGTGAAGATGACTGAGTCGACATTGAAGTTGCAACAGGTGAAGAAGAGGAATATGTTGGTTCTGTCATTATTGGAGGTGATGAAAGGGTTGGTTGAAGACAAGTTGGCCTGTCTATACCAATGAACCTGACCTCTCCCACATGAACCCACTGTATTGATGAGGTGTGTGATAGGTCCACTAGAATATAGACTGTGCGATGAGGTCCACTTAGGAATGAGCCTCCAGAAAAGGTAACATTTGAAAGAGAGTCACAAGATGACTGGTGGGAGTTGTTACTGGCAAACACAATTGGATCACTATAAAGTATGTTGGTGGTAGCTGCTAAGTTGTAATCTGGATTGAGATACACTGTGATAGATGGAGCACCAATGTTCCAGTCAGGACAGTTGAACAAGTCCATCTCAATTCCAGTCAGAGACACAGCTGTATCAAAGCCAAATGTCAGCAGAACATGAGGGAAAGGGATATCAGGAGTTGTCCCTCTCCTCACTGTCACTAGCTGAGATGCCCAGTCAGAGGTACTTGTGTCAATATCAGGAGAGCAACCATCAATCAGATAGCTTAGTGACCCATTACAGACCATCACACCACCACTGTCTACTAGTGGACTAGTACATCCCATTGTCACATTATTAGATCCATTGACTGACTCTATTCCTTGAGGTACTACCTGCACCTGTGCTTGCCCTGAAAAAATCAGATAGGTTTGGTAACCAACACATTGTCGTTGTCACCATTCACTGACTCTATTGCTTGAGGTATATACTACCTCTACATCCCCCATTACTGTAAAGAAACATTTAATCTCTGAAAGACTATAATAATTTATAGTACCCGTATTTTCATATGTACCTGACAGAAAGAGCAGAGCAAAAACGAATGCAGTCAGACCTCCACCCTATTGAAACGAATCACACTATTGGGAATGGTCATTGGAAAGTCCCGTTGTGAGTGAACTCATGCACCCTTACTGTTCCCCTCTATTTTGAGTTTTACACAACCACTGTATACTTCTGGAAGGCAAAACACTTCATTTTCAGTTGTATCTGTCCAAAGTCAGTTCTGCAGTATTGTGGACCTTCTTAGTTTGCAATGGCAAACGCCACAGTTTCAGTTGCAGCAAACACACTGTTTTTCCCACCTACTTGTTTATCTAGGGCTGACGGGTGGGTGGACACACTACAACAACATCTGTCACCTTATTCGAGTGTCCAATTCATACCACATGCATTTTTACAGTTACGCTATTATGGTTAAGTTCGGGCATTTGCAGTTCATCTATGATAGGTAACCAGAACACTAGAAAGATAGTCCTTTCTTTCCTGAAGTCAAAGTTTATGGTGGTACGGTAGCCAATACTGTATGTCAACATCATGCTCACAAGGCAAATGCAATGTCAAGGCAAACAGCACACTACCCCAGAAAATAATTATGATAGTTCGATGGTTCCGGCCAGTGCTCATCATTGTGTTTTTGCTAGTTCTTGTCTCTATCTACTTGCTAAGAAAGGTGCTGCCCTACCAAGATCAGCTCCATTTTTGTCTTATTGCCTACCAGGAGGTCACTAAGTAAGTGCAGTTAGTTAGACAGAGGGTGGCTGAAGGGCATAATAGTGATTATAGCTACGTGGCTGTTGTCCAAAAAGCTCATGCACATGTCAGTCCATATTAAGTTAAGCATAAACAGTGAAAGAGTTTGTTGATAGTGTAAAAGCGAAGTTTCCTCTGTTTGTATTGTGTAAATGACACCATTTTCTATAACAGATAGTGAAAAACACCGACACACATTTGGAATGGCTGATTATTGGTCATAAAGTCATTAGCAAGGCTGATCTACACGCGAAATCACTAGCTTACCGTTAGGTATAAAAGTGTTTATAGCCATGACAAGATCACTCTGTAACACTGGCAGCGCTACGACGGGTTATCGCTCGCTCGCGCGCGCGCGATATATCGCTCGATCGGCGGCGGGCGCGGCGGCATCACGTGTACGTGTGTGTGTGTGTGGGCCAAAACGGGGCGCGCGGCCCCCGCTACTGCACATTGCGCGGCGGCGCGGCCGGCCTGGATGAGGAAATTAGCCACCAGGCAAAAATACTGGTAAAACTCAACAATTTCCATCGTCAGCCTTATAACTGATGGCAACATGGTGCTTTGGTTTTACACACTCCAAAATAGAATCAGTGGTCTTGAAAACAGCAGTAGAAGGTCAAAAGTCCACACAAAGGACTTTGTCTTAACTGGCCAAGTGAGCCTAAACTGGCCAAGTGAGCCTAAACTGACCATTTATGGTTGCCATACCCATAGTTATCACTGAGGAAAAACACCTTTTAGCTACCACTCCAAAAACACAATAATATTGAAAATGCTTTACCATAGTATTGCTGTATATATTAAGAATAACAAAAGCCCAAAAAAACTGTGACATGTGAGAGCAGGTGTTGCACGTTTGACGTTTGTCAAAAGCATATGAAAACGATAACATCGGCATCAACCTTCAACAAACAAGAAACATGGGCACGCTGCACTCTAAAAAATGATAGCGCATTCATAACAAACAGGTAAATGAATGTGCAAGAGTTCCTACAAACTTTTCTGTATAAGGAAATCGTTAAACTATGCCTGGACAAACTACACATAACTAAATGGTATTCTCATTCCCTGAGTTAAATTTTTAACCAATCAATCAATTTCTGAAATGTAAGACGGTGCCTCATGTCCACGGCCCAGCATTTCTCCATCACGTCATACACTGGCTGGGGACAGGCCACTGGCTTCACTGGAAATTGACGATACTCCCTCTTCAAACTATTGTGGATCACCTCCTCGTCAGAGAGGTGGCGATACGGCAGCTGCTTGGCCAGAGTGAACATCTCCCACATGGTCACACCAAATGCCCACACGTCTGACTTCTCCGAGAATTTCCCGCTGAAACACTCAGTGGCCATCCAGCGAATGGGCATCATCCTATTGCCACGGATGCGGTAGTAGCTGGACTGGTATAGACTCGTGTTCACACCAACATCCCCCACCTTGATGAAGTTGTTTGTCGTGATAAAGCAGTTGCGAGTGGCCAGGTCTCGATGGACAAACTTGAGACTTGCCAGATACTGCATACCACTGGCAATCTGGGAGGCTATGTACACCAGCTCCGAGGACGTGATTTGGGTTTGGCTGGAGGAAGTGGTGACAATCTCCGAGTAGCTCTGCAGGAACTGGTTCAGGTCTCCTCCCTCGGTGTACTCCATCATGATGAAGGCAGAGTCGTGGATGCAGACTCCCAGCAGACGCAGGACGTTGGGGTGTTTGATGTGGGACATGAACTGAGCCTCCTTCTCAAAGGCCTCTCTCTGGGTCTGGGACGGATTCGATTGAAGCTTCTTTGCAGCTACCGTGACTGATATGTTTGGGTTGTTGTCTGTCTTGCTCAATCCCATGCTCTTCAGACTCAGACCATTAGTGTTGGCCAGCACCACTTCTCCAAACTGCCCATCTCCCAGTTTCGTCTTCTCGGTGATGTTCTCACTGGTAACCTCTGCAGGGTCTTGGTAGATCTCGGGGAGGGACGAGGCCACTGTGTAAATTGGGCCCAAATATTGAGGATCATTCCCTCCACCTTTCATTCTGTTGCGAGTGAAATCAGATGGATTAATGGACTCGCTGTAAATGCTTATATTGAGCGCCGACTGCGTGTCCAGATATTCCTGTAGATTCGATGACTTTATGGGAACTGCTGGGACTTCTCTGACTTTGATATCAGTGTACATTCGTGGACGTTCAACAGGCTCTCCTTCCGTGGCATCACCTAAATCTGCATACACTGTTTCTGTTCCTTGGGCGCTGCTTTGACGTTGTGGTTGAGCTTTTTGTTTCCCATCACCTGGTCTTGCGGGGGCATCATCACTGTTGACCTGGATACAGGCATAAGCTGCTGACTGTATGATTTCACTACCACTCCTGACTGGTGGTGTCAGTGGAGCAACTACATTGTACATTCCCGTGAATACTTGACCGTCGGAAGCTGTCAGTTTTGTCGTATTCGTCTCCAGACCTTCACTGTATATCTTATCTCTGGTCACTTCACCATCTCTAGTGTGGTCCAGTCCACCTTGTGTTGCAGGGGGCTCATCGCTGTTGACCTGGATGCAGGCATAGGCTGCTGACTGTATGATTTCACTTGCACTCTTGACTGTATTCGTCTCCAGACCTTCACCATCAATCTTATCGCTGGTCACTCACCATCTCTAGTGTGGTCCAGTCCACCTTGTGTTGCAGGCTCATCACTGTTCGGACCTGGATGCAGCATAGGCTGCAGACTGTATGATTCACTCCTGTCACTTTGCACTCTGACTGTATTCGTCCGTCCAGACCTTCACCATATAGCGTTATCTCTGGTCACTGCACCACTCTAGTGTGGTCCAGTCACCTGGTGTTGCAGGGGTCTCATCACGTGTGACCTGGATGCAGGCATAGGCTGCTGACTGTAGGATTTCACTAGCACTCTCATTGGTGGTAGGGTCAGTGGAGAGCACTACATTGTACAGTCCGTGAATACTTGCCCATCAGAAGCTGTCAGCTGTTCATTTTTGTCATAGTTTTCTTCGTTCTTTCTCCATTTGCATCACAGACCACTTCACTAAGATACCCGTAACCAGCAGCAACAGAAGGTTGTAGGAGAGGTCTGTCCTATGCGGATATAGCTGTATGGAAATCTCCTATGGCATCTCTATGATCATTGTTCTGGCTCTGACTCTGACTTGAATAGGGATTGCTATAACATCTCATCTATCTTCCAGTTCAAAGCTATTGTGGTGATTGTTTTTGACTCTTGAACGACATTTCATGATAACAATCACACCAGTATTGAGACGAGAATTAATCACAGAGCAATGTAGCCATCGTAATAACGCCTTACTGCGAGTGTTGTACCTTCAGTCTTTTCATTTTGGTTGTGAGTAAAATATACGATGTTGAACTCACCGTATGAAAACCAAATCTCGAATCCCGCCATATCTGCCCTGTGATGTGGCGTCTGCATACGATTTTTTTACTGGGCACGCATGATTACTAGATAGTTGAGGCCATATGTTTCTGTCCGTTTTGTGACTTGTTATAATTTTCGTATATTGAGTGGTAGGAGATGTGGAACGGGAATATTCAGATGGGTTTTTTCAGTGTAGCCAGCATTTCCAATTCTCTCAATGAAACTGGATGAAATGCTTACAGAAGGTACCATATTTTTTACTAGAGTTTAAGAAGCTAAGAGGAATAAAAACAAAATTACATTTATACACGCACATTTTGTAATTGCTTCATAACCACCCATTTCCTCGTTGCTAAGATTACTTACTGTTAGTGTTAGAGAGTGCTCGTGCTGGCTTTTTTTTCAAAAGTCAGATTTTAGTAGTAGCATAAAGGATGGTGAATGTTATGGAGTTGTAGACATTGAACTGCAGCGGTAAAGTAAATAGTTAAGATGTTGGGTCTGTCATCATTGGAGATCAATGGAGAGGTGGCTGAAGGACATCTGGACTGTCTCTACAATGAACCTGACCTCTCCCACATGAACACCCCCTGATGAATGAGTGTGTGTTAGGTCCCACTAGAAATAAGACTTTGCTATAGGATCCACTTAGGAATGAACCTACCATAAATGGTAAAGTTGAAAGATACTATCAAACCAAGAATACTAACCGGACAAGAGATTTTCCACAACCCAATCAACACAAATGAGGCAAAGTATGTCATGGTAGCTGCTAAGTCCACTGTAATCTGTATTGAGATACACTGTTGATAGATGGGGCACCATGTTCCAGTCAGACAGTTGAACACGATCTCATCTCATTCCACTCTCAGATTACAGTCTCTGTCAATGCAAAGTTATGCGAGAACATTGAGTGCAAAATTGAATGCCCAGGAGATTCTCATTCCTCTCACTGTCATTAGCCTGAGATGCCTCAGAGGTACTTGTGTCAATACTCATGCGAGCAACCATCAGCCAGCTAGCTTTGTGACTCACACCCATCACCCCACCACTGTCTACTAGATGGACTAGTACATCCCAATTGTCTCACTAGAGATCCATTGACTGGCACTAGTCCTGAGTACTACTGCACTTGTGCCTCGCCCTGAAAAAGCATCAGATAGGTTTGGGTACCAACACCTTGTCATTGTCACATTAGGTCCATTCACTGACTCTATTGCTTGAGGTACTACCCCTACATCCCCCATTACTGTAAAGAAACATTTAATCTCTGAAAGACTAGTACCCGCAATGCATTGGTATAATTTATATGTACCTGATAGAAACAGCAGAGCAAAAACGAATGCAGTCAGACTTCCACCCTATTGACACGAAACAATTATTGGGAATGGTCATTGGAAAGTCCTGTAAACTCATGCACCCTTACTGAACCTCACCCTTCCCCTCTATTTTGAGTTTTACACAACCACTGTATACTTCTGGAAGGCGAAACACTTCATATCAGTTCAAAGCTGCAGTATTGTGGACCTTCTTCATTTGCAATGGCAAACACCCAGTTTCAGTTGCACTGTTTTTCCCACCTACTTGTTTATCTAGGGCTGATGGGTGGGTGGACACACTACAACAACATCTGTCACCTCATTCAAGCTCATACACATGCATTTTACAGTTATACTTCATTTAACATTATGGTTTACGTCCGGGCAATTGCAGATCATCTATGATAGGTAACCAGAACATAGGAAAGATACTCCTTTCTTCCTGAAGTATGGTGTTACTGTAGCCAGATACTGTATGTCATCAGCATGCTGACAAGGCAAAATGATAATACTGATGGTTCTGTTCCAGCCAGTGAAACTTTCATTGGGTTTTGCTAGTCCTGTATTCATCTGCTTGTTAAGGGAAGGTTGAGGAAGGTGCTGCCCTGCCACGATCAGCAAAATTTTTTTGCCTTCACTACAAAATCTGGGTCAAATAAGCAAGTGCAGTTAGTTAGACAGTGGGTGGCTGAAGGGCATAATAGTGATTTTAGCTACATGGCTGTTGTACAAAAGGCTCATGCACATGTCAGTCCATATTAAGTTAAGCATATATAAACAGTGAAAGAGTTGTTGATATATAGTGTAAAAGCGAAGTTTCCTCTGTTTGTATTGTGTAAATGACACCATTTTCTATAACAGATAATGAAAAACACCGACACACATTTGGAATGGCTGATTATTGGTCATAAAGTCATTAGCAAGGCTGATCTACACGCGAAATCACTAGCTTACCGTTAGGTATAAAAGTGTTCTAGCTAGTGAGTAGCCAGGGATTGCAGCTAACACCATCAATCTTACTCAACTTTCTTTCCATTGTGCTAAGCTAAGTGGACATTCTACGGTACTGATGGACTCACCGACCATTGCAGAAGTATACCCATGACAAGATCACTCTGTAACACTGGCAGCGCTACGGGTTATCGCTCGCTCGCGCGCGATATCGCTCGATTGGCGGGCCGGCCGGGCGCGGCGGCATCACGTGTGGGCCAAAATGGGGCGCGCCGCTGCAGCATTGCGCGGCGGCGCGGCCGGCCTGGATGAGGAAATTAGCCCCCAGGCAAAAATAAGCCTTGACTAATTCATACCTACCAACCATCCCTCTTTTTGCTTGATAATCAAGCAAAAACACTGCCCATCCCTCCAGAAAATTGCCAAATCCCTCTCTTTTGTGCTAACCTGTCATGCATCATGCCTAAACATTTTGAATGGACACACACAGCATTTTCAAGCAAAAAGACTCCAAATCCAAGCAAATTTGCCACATTTCTCAAGCAAAGGTTCATCTGCAGGTTGGTAGGTATGCTAATTCTGGTAAAACTCAACAATTTCTATCGTCAGCCTTATAACTGATAGCAACATGGTTTTACACACTCCAAAATTATAATAATAATCAGTGGTCTTGAAACAGCAGCAGAAGTTCAAAAATCCAAACAAAGGGACTTTGTCTTATTAAGCTGGCCAAGTGAGCCTAAATTGACCGTTTATGGTTGCCATACCCATAGTTATCACTGACGAAAAACACCTTATAGCTACCACTCCAAAAACACAATAATATTGAAAATGCTTTACCATAATATTGCTGTACATAAGAATAACAAAAGCAAAAAACTGTGACACGTGAGAGCAGGTGTTGCACGTTTGACGCTTGCCAAAAGCATATGAAAACGAAAACATCGGCATCAACCTTCAACAAAACAGAAACATGGCACGCTGCACTCTAAAAAAATGACTAGCGCATCAAATAAACATGTAAATGAATGTGCAAGAGTTCCTACAAACTTTTCTGTATAAGGAAATCGTTAACTATGCCTGGACAAACTACCATAACTAAATGGTATTCTCATTCCCTGAGTTAAATTTTTTAACCAATCAATCAATTTCTGAAATGTGACGGTGGCCTCATGTCCACGGCCCAGCATTCCTCCACAGTCATACACTGCTGGGGACAGGCCACTGGCTTCACTGAAATGCGATACTCTTTCTTCAAACTATTGTGGATCACCTCCTCGTCAGAGGGTGCGATACTGCAGCTGCTTGTGCCAGAGTGACATCTCCCACATGGTTTCACACCATTCCTCACACGTCTGCCTTCTCCAAGTATGTTCCGCTGACTCGGTCGCATGCAGCGACCTCATGGGCTCATTCCTAGCTTGCTTCCATCCGCGTCTGCGTTTCGAAAAATAGATGCTTCGTCATTTCCTGGTCTCAGAACAAGAGGCCGATTCACGCGTCACGTCACCCACATCGTTGATGAAGTTGTTGGTCGTGATAAAGCAGTTTTGCGAGGGCCAGTGTCTCGATGGACAAACTGAGACTTGCCAGATACTGCATACCACTGGCATCTGGGAGGCTATGTACACCAGCTCCGAGGACGTGATTTGGGTTTGGCTGGAGGAAGTGGTGACAATCTCCGAGTAGCTCTGCAGGAACTGGTTCAGTCTCCTCCCTCGGTGTACTCATCATGATGAAGGCAGAGTCGTGGACGCAGACTCCAGCAGACGCAGACGTTGTGGTGTTTTGATGGGGACATGACTGAGCCTCCTTCTCAAAGGCTCTCTCTGGGTCTGGGACGGATTCGATTGAATCTTCTTTGCAGCTACCGTGACTGATATTTTGGGTTTTTGGTTTGTCTTTCGTTTCTCCGACTCAATCCCATGCTCTTCAGACTCAGACCATTAGTGTTGGCCAGCACCACTTCTCCAAACTGCCCATCTCCCAGTTTCGTCTTCTCGGTGATGTTCTCACTGGTAACCTCTGCAGGGTCTTGGTAGATCTCGGGGAGGGACGAGGCCACTGTGTAAATTGGGCCCAAATATTGAGGATCATTTCCTCCACCTTTCATTCTGTTTCGAGTGAAATCAGATGGATTAATGGACTCGCTGTAAATGCTTATATCGAGCGCGACTGTTGTTCTAGATATTCTGTAGACTGATGACTTCATGGGTACTGCTGGGACTTCTCTGACTTTGATATCAGTGTACATTCGTGGATGTTCAGCAGTCTCTCCTTCCGTGGCATCACCTAAATCTGCATGCACTGTTTCTGTTCCTTGGGCGCTGCTTTGGCGTTGTGGTTGAGCTTTTTGTTTCCCATCACCTTGTGTTGCGGTGGTCTTGTCACTGTTGACCTGGATGCAGGCATAGGCGGCTAACTCTATGATTTCACTAGCACTCCTGACTGGTGGTGTCAGTGGAGCAACTACATTGTACATTCCCGTGAATACTTGATCGTCGGAAGCTGTCAGTTTTGTCGTATTCGTCTCCAGACCTTCACTGTATATCTTATCTCTGGTCAATTCACCATCTCTAGTGTGGTCCAGTCCACCTTGTGTTGCAGGGGGCTCATCACTGTTGATCTGGATGCAGGCATAGGCTGCTGACTGTATGATTTCACTAGCACTCTTGACTGTATTCGTCTCCAGACCTTCACCATATATCTTATCTCTGGTCACTTCACCATCTCTAGTGTGGTCCAGTCCACCTGGTGTTGCAGGGGTCTCATCACTGTTGATCTGGATGCAGGCATAGGCTGCTGACTGTATGATTTCACTAGCACTCTTGACTGTATTCGTCTCCAGACCTTCACCATATATCTTATCTCTGGTCACTTCACCATCTCTAGTGTGGTCCAGTCCACCTGGTGTTGCAGGGGTCTCATCACTGTTGATCTGGATGCAGGCATAGGCTGCTGACTGTATCATTTCACTAGCACTCTTGACTGGTGGTGTCAGTGGAGCAACTACATTGTACATTCCCGTGAATACTTGCCCATCAGAAGCTGCTGTTATTTTTGTCACAGTTTCTCCATTTGAATCAACGATCACTTCACTATAGATACCAGTACCAGCAGCAACAGAAGGTGGAGGAGGATGTGCTGTCCTATTGCGGATATATGTTGGATTGGCTAACTCTATGGCATCTCTCTGATCATTGTTCTGGCTCAGACTTGAATTAGGTTGCTTAACATCTTCCAGTTCAAAGCTATTGTGGTGTTTGTTTTTGATTCTTGAACGACATTTAATGATGAAAATCACCAGTATTGAGACTAGAAACATAATCAACAGAGCAAATGTAGAAATCGCAATAACTACTGCGAGTGTTGTACCTTCAGTATTTTCATTTGGGTGGTGAGTAACAATATACGATGTTGAACTCACTGTAGGAAAAGGAAATCTAGATCCCGTCATATCTCCCCGTAATGTGGAGTCTGCATAAGATTTATTGGCCTCGATGATTGGTATTGTTAAGCCAGTATCGTTATCTGTCATTGTTGGTGACTGTGTGATTATCTCAGTACCGTGAGTAAGTGCAGTGGTAGGAGAGGGGGAACTGGAATGGCATGGTTATTTCAGTGGAGACAGCACTTCCACTAGCAGAAATTCTCTCAATGACAGTGGATGAAGTGTGTATAGAAGTTAGTACAGTTAAAACCAGTGCGAAAGAAGCTTTGGAGAGGTCGAACATCATAATACACCGGACACACTTGTATATACCTATTTCTCTTCTTCAAATCACTTACTGTGTGTAGGAGATTAGGTTGGGAGAGGGGGGTTGTGGCTTCTTCATAAGGAGCAGATTTTGTAGTGGTAGCATAAGTGAGGTGAGATGACTGAGTCGACATTGAAAAGTTTGCAACATGTGAAGAGCAGCGAATATGTTGTTCTGTCATTATTGGAGGTGAATGAAAGGTGGTGAAGACAAGTTGGCCTGTCTATACCACTGAACGCTGACCTCTCCCACCATGAACCACTGTATTGATGAGGTGTGTGATAGGTCCACTAGAATATAGACTGTGCGATGAGGTCCACTAGGAATGAGCCTCCAGAAAAGGTACATTTGAAAGAGAGTCACAAGATGACTGGTGGGAGTTGTTACTGGCAAAACACATTGGATCACTATAAAGTATGTTGGTGGTAGCTGCTAGTTGTAATTGGATTGAGATACACTGTGATAGATGGAGCACCAATGTTCCAGTCAGGACAGTTGAACAAGTCCATCTCATTCCAGTCAGAGACACAGCTGTATCAAAGCCAATGTCAGCAGAAATGAGGGAAAGGGATATCAGAGTTGCTCCCTCTCCCTCACTGTCACTAGCTGAGATGCCCAGTCAGAGGTACTTGTGTCAATATCAGGAGAGCAACCATCAATCAGATAGCTTAGTGACCCATTACAGACCATCACACCACCACTGTCTACTAGTGGACTAGTACATCCCATTGTCACATTATTAGATCCATTGACTGACTCTATTCCTTGAGGTACTACCTGCAACCTGTGCTTGCCCTGAAAATCAGATAGGTTTGGTAACCAACACTTGTCGTGTCACCATCACTGACTCTATTGCTTGAGGTATATACTACCTCTACATCCCCCATTACTGTAAAGAAACATTTAATCTCTGAAAGACTATAATAATTTATAGTACCCGTATTTCATATGTACCTGACAGAAAGAGCAGAGCAAAAACGAATGCAGTCAGACCTCCACCCTATTGAAAGAATCAACACTATTGGGAATGGTCATTGGAAAGTCCCGTTGTGAGTGAACTCATGCACCCTTACTGTTCCCCTCTATTTTGAGTTTTACACAACCACTGTATACTTCTGGAAGGCAAAACACTTCATTTTCAGTTGTATCTGTCCAAAGTCAGTTCTGCAGTATTGTGGACCTTCTTAGTTTGCAATGGCAAACGCCACAGTTTCAGTTGCAGCAAACACACTGTTTTTCCCACCTACTTGTTTATCTAGGGCTGACGGGTGGGTGGACACACTACAACAACATCTGTCACCTTATTCGAGTGTCCAATTCATACCACATGCATTTTTACAGTTACGCTATTATGGTTAAGTTCGGGCATTTGCAGTTCATCTATGATAGGTAACCAGAACATAGGAAAGATAGTCCTTTCTTCCTGAAGTCAAAGTTTTATGGTGGTACTGTAGCCAGATACTGTATGTCAACAGCATGCTGACAAGGCAAAATGCAATTTCAAGGCAAACAGCACAACGACCCCAGGAAAATAATTATGATAGTTCGATGGTTCCGGCCAGTGCTCATCATTGTGTTTTTGCTAGTTCTTGTCTCTATCTACTTGCTAAGAAAGGTGCTGCCCTACCAAGATCAGCTCCATTTTTGTCTTATTGCCTACCAGGAGGTCACTAAGTAAGTGCAGTTAGTTAGACAGAGGGTGGCTGAAGGGCATAATAGTGATTATAGCTACGTGGCTGTTGTCCAAAAAGCTCATGCACATGTCAGTCCATATTAAGGTAAGCATAAACAGTGTGAAAGAGTTGTGATTGTGTAAAAGCGAAGTTTCCTCTCGTTGTATTGTGTAATGACACCATTTCTATAACAGCTAGTGAAAACACACCGACACACATTGGAATGGCTGATATGGTCATATAAAGTCATAGCAAGGCTGATCTACACGCGAATCACTAGCTTACCGTTAGGTATAAAGTGTTATAGCCATGACAAGAGTCACTCTGTACACTGGTCACGCGCTACGACGGGTTATCGCTCGCTCGCGCGTCGCTGCGCGATATATCGCTCGATCGGCGGCGGGCGCGCGGACCATCACGTGTACGTGTGTGTGTGTGTGGGGCCAAACGGGGCGCGCGGCCCGCTACTGGCACCTTTGCGCGGCCGGCGCGGCCGGCCTGGATGAGGAGGAGGAAGAATTAGCCACCAGCAAAATACTGGTAAAACTCAACATTTCCATCGTCAGCTTATAAACTGATGGCCACAGGGTGCT